AAATGACTCACAGGAAGTGCATCCAAACACATACAAACATTCCGGAACAGAAGTCAGTTTTCCAAATGGGTTTTCTCAGCGACTTATTAAACTTTTGCTGAGGTCGTGGCTTAACCCATTGTTTGTTTGTTTTTTAATCACATTCTACATATCTTACAGGTTATTTGTACAAGTAAGGAATAAAAAAAATTCAACTATTTCACCTTTAAATCATGAATTATGAAATCAACTTGGACTGAAGTATCGATGACTTCCCATTCTGCATTCCCTGACATAGTCTTTGTAAATGATATGCATTTTTCACCATTAAATAATGTTACACATAGCACAACAGAACTAAATGCTCAATTCTGATTGGTTAGAAGGTGTTGATTAATTTTCAATAACAACAGCTCTGACAGTCATTCTGCTTGTAATTCATGTGCTCATTTGATAGTGTGAAGTTTAGATTTCTAAACATCCAGACCCACCTAAAATCACCCCAAACCATGTGGCAAAATATCTTAAGGTCTGATGAGATCAATGGTGAACTTTTTGGGCATAATTCTAAACAATCAGCTGTGTTGTTCTGCACCAAACATCACCCAAAGATCATCATACCTACAGTGAAGCATGATGGTGGCAGCATCATGCTAAGGGGCTGCATTTCTTCAGCTGGGATTGGGGCCCTAGTCAAGATAGAGGGAATCACGGATAGCTCCAAATACTAGTCTATTTTGGAGGAAGGAATGGCTTCAGAAGAAAAATGATCAATACTTTGAAATGGCCCAGATCTAAAACCAGTGGAATGACTTGAAGAGGGATGTGCACAGAAGATCCCCTTGCAATTTTACAGATTTGCAGCATTTTTGCAAGGAAGACTGGGGAAAAATATCCAAATCAAGATGTGCTATGCTGGTAGACTCTTACCCAAAAAACCTGAGTGCTGTGTTACAAGCAAAAGGTGCTTTAACAAAGTATTAGTTAAGGGGTGTGCACATTTATGCAACCATGTTATTGTAAGTTTTTTTCTTTTTTTCCCTCTAAAATTTGTTTGTTTTCTCCTGAATTCTGTTGGTTGCTATATCACACTAAAGGTGGAAAAAGATCTGACATGATTTAATTTTTTTACATCACAAAAACCGTGACTCGACTACATCGTTGCAAAACAGTGCAGAGACCCTTTCCCCCGAAGTGTTAACTAAGAATTTAACATCCATAAGAAAACTTCCCCAGTTACCATGACAACTAGCTGCTGTTATGGATACCATCGTACTAAATGATGTGCTTTATTCATAATATATTTGATTCTGTCACCCCTTATGGCATGTTGTTTTAATCAATTTCACACC